AACGGCACTTTCTACTAATCTACAGTGACAAAAAGCAAATCAATGATTGCTTTTAGGGATGGGATGATAGGAAAGGATGGGCATAGTTAATTACAAAGGGGCAGGAGGAAATTGGGGGGCATGATATATATGTTTATTATCTTCACTGTGGTGACTGTTTCATGGGTGCATACATATTTGAAAAATTATCAAATTTGCACTTTATGTACTGTTTATTATATGTAAATTCTATCTCAATTCACCTGTTTATTAGACATATAAGTTGTGTATTACATAATGAAAAAGTCTTCAGAAATTAAAAGTTATGAACTAGGGTGATACGTATTAGCATGGACAAATCACAAAAACAGAAACAAGTTTTATAATTATTTGTATGTAATGATAAGCATTATATAAAATGTAACAAACTACCAAAAAATCCCATACATTGTTTAGGTATGTGTACATAAACATGTTTGGGAGTGATTAGCTCTAAATTCAAGAAGGTCTTTTCTTCTGGAGAGAGACATGAGTGAGATTACAAAGTGCCACACAGGGGCTTTAATGCTATCAATAATATTTTACCACCAGGTGTGGTGGCTCATGCCTATAATCCCAGCACTTTGGGAGGCCAAGGTGAGAGGTTTACTTGTGGTATCAGCTAGTCAGGAGGCTGAGGCGGGAGGATTGCTTGAGCCTGGAAGGTCAAAGCTGCAGTGATCCATAATCATGCCACTACACTCCAGCCTGGGTGACAGAGCAAGACCCTGTCTCAAAAAAAAAAAAAAAAAAAAAATCTTTTTTTACTTCCTTTTGAAAACTCTGAAGCTCATATGATGAAAATACTGAGATTTAGTAAACCTGGTACTATGTACAAGACAGTTCATTATATTCTTAAATTTTTTGTATGTATGGAATGCTTCACTTTTTTAAAAGTACACGTTTGCTCAGCAACATTATCTCAGAAGGCAATCTTAGAAAGTAGATGTTACTTGGGAAAGGTGACAGCCCACTCCTTTTCTCTTGAGTTAGTACTTTGGCACATGACCAAGGAGTAGTTGATTCTAAACCCTGAAACTCACAGTGACTCAAGTCCCTAGCCAGGGCATATTGTGTCAGAGGCCTGTTTTTAAGAGGAAGGTTGTGAATGCCAACCCGTGGAAATCTGAGGTGCCAGACAGGGAGGGCAAGTGTGGACTTGGGGTTCACTGGGGGACTTGGGTCCCTGCACCCCAGGGTGGCAGTGGCAACTGAAGGCATTGAGTCTAAAGAAGGGATGGTGCGGCCTTCTGACAAGCAATTGAAAGTGGGCAGGTGGAGCAAGAACCAGGCAGAATTGTGGAGACCACAAAAGTGAGTTTCATCAACTGCCTTATTTTGCCCCTGTCTATCTCTGACACTAGTCACCCAGCTGTCAAACTCACCTCAAATTCTGCAATTGAGGAGGTCACCAAGCAGGTGATGTTATTACGCGTTAGTACCTACTGATGATTCGTGCTCTTGGACCATTGTACTTTCTCTGAAACAAATTAACTCAACAGCCTTTATAGGTGGACGGACTGGAGAGTCTTAAGCCATGAGGCTCCCTGGGAAAGAATTTTCTTCTTTTTTTCAGTAGTCAGGGATAAGTTTTATGTCAACACACAAAGAGCTAACTCCAGATTGAATTCATTCACTTAATGTTCAGACACAGAGATCTATGGTAGACTTCTGAAGGCCAAAGCTCAACAAAATAAGGGTCCCTTTTCTTCACTGCCTTTTACGTACACTAAATCTTCAAAGTTTAAGAGAATTAACTTGGACTAAATGTTGAGCTCTCCATGGCCTTAAAGAGATGGTGAGAACAGGGCTCATCTTCAGTTCAGATACTTGTGTGAATTGAGGATGCATTGTTTGGACCTAGTTGTTTTGGAGTGTATATCCTACATACATATAAAAAGCATTTATATAAAAATAAGTGTTTAAAATGCATTTCGAGCAAAATAAAACGGCTTTTAAAAGAATGTGTAAGGTATAATAAACAGCAAATAAAATGATATAAACAGGCCTGTGTCCCTGCTAAAAGGAGATTCCAGCAGGCAAACTATTTCCATGACGAGTACAGAGTGAATTCCAAAAGTTACAATGTGGTAATCTCACTTCCCAAAGGAAAAATGAAGAGTTGACTGGAAAACATTTCCCCTGCAGCATTAAGGCAGACATATACAGAATCTTTTTATGTGTCAGTATCTAATATTTTTTAAACATCAAATTTTATTCACCTTGTCAGCTTTTAAAAATAATACATTAAAAAGTGTTGTCTAATGGAAAACTAAGTACTTCGCTCCATGCTGGGTGTCTGAGTTTGAAGTGCTGTGACAAGTAGGACAGTATTTCAAAGTGTGCTGCAAATCAGGGCCATCTGACTGTAATCATTTAAGCCAGGGGTCAGCAGACTTTTCTGTCAAGGGCCAGATAATAAATATTTTAGGCTTTGCCATACGGTCTCTGTTGCAGCAACTCACTTCTGCACAACATTGTAGCAAGAAAGCAGCCATAGATTATGTGTAACCAATAAGTGTGGTAGTGTGCCAATAAAGCTTTATTTACACAAACAGGCCATATGCTGATTCAGCCCACAAATCACAGCCTATGAACACCTAACTTAGAGCAGTGTTTTTCTTTTTTCTTTTTTTTACTGTAACCCACAGTAAGAAATACATATGACATCACAATACAGCGTGCACGCATGCACACACACAAAAGGTTTTACAAAACCCAACTTGCCTTTTTTACCAGGAATGCACTCTGCTATTTGCTTTTCTCCTCTTCTATTTGGTTTTTCAAAGGCTAGTCCTGACTGTCCTAATGATTCATCACCTGCAGACTTAAAAACATTTGTTGCTTGTTGAAATGCAAATTCCTCCTGCTCTGCGAATTACAACTCCTTAACTCAAATATTGGCGAATAACCCAAACATCTACTGTTTTTCTTTCAAAATGATCCCCAGCTGATTATTTTACACACTAGGTTTGCAAAGCTCAAATCAGGTGTATCAGATGAAATTGTCCACTAACCTATAACTAAAATTATGCCCAAAATTGTTCTCTGTAGAACATTCCAGTATTTTCACAGGAGACTCTCATTTTGTCTTGCTTTAATTTTTGCATGATTTAGAGCTCTTTTATTCTTTTTCCTGTTATGTCACTTTTAATGTTCAATATCATGATAGAAAAAGAAAAGAAACTGGAGTTCAAGCATCATCGCATTTGAAACGTGTGTGGTCTTTAATAGGCATATCTAAAGGATAAGTAGTTGTCATGAAGTTATTCTAAAGGAATATTTTGACCTTATTTTCTTTTGTTGGAATTGTATTAAACATCTGCAATTCTGCCATGTAATTTAAATGATTCTTTATGCTGTGTGATTAAATATTCCATTCACTTGGTTTGTTCTATGGACTGTAAATTAGTTTTCCTTCTGGAATTTTCCTTCCTCTCACAGTTTCTTATGAACATGTTCTAATATCCTGCACTGCACTGGATGCCTTCCTTAGCTTTGCCTCCAGATAGAATGATGCCAGAGGCTAAATTCTATTTGGTGTAAAATAAGTGTTATTTTATTCCACTAATGAATACAGTTAATCCACTGGGGACAGTAACTATAATTACAATGCATTAAGTCTTTTACCAGGCTCACAATCATATATTATTTGCCCCAAAGTTTTGACACTTCATTCTCTGACTCTTTCAGGAATTTTTCTCACCCTTGCCTGAAATTTTGTACCTGCTGCCTCTAATTCAGTATGAATTTCCTTTGTTTGCTATAGTACATACTTGGAATTGGATGTTCCTTAGAGGCCTCAAGTTCTGACATCTCCTTCCTTCCTTTTCTTAGATTAGAGTTATACAGGGATAGTAATGACGACTTGGAGAAAGAAGGAATTTCTTGGAATTAGCAAGAATTCTGGAGGGAGCCTTGAGCCAGCCTTGTCAGTAAGACAGATTAACTGGCCTCCTCCATACCCTTTCACCCAGGGCTATTTTCCATTCCAGAATTATCATAAAGCCGGCTGAAATTTGTCCCTGGGTGTGTGGTTGGGGGCACTAGGCACACGGCAATTTCAATTAGCTGTCTAATTTTAACTTGGCTTCTGGCCAGAGGACTTCATCTCACAGCACATTTCAAACACCAGAGCGAACGGTCAAGTGGGTTACCTTGGACTTATCTTGGCCTGCCCCGCAGGTTATGGTCAATTATGTTTGAGGGACATTTTCAAGCAAGACAGAATCAGGAATTGGAATGGAGGTTGTGAAGCAATCATGCGTTTTTATCCCAACTGGGAAATGCTTATCAAAATAGTTCCTAGTTATCAAGTAAGCACAAAGTGCCTGGAAATGACGTTCCCAGTGAGGGGAAATGGCCCAGCTGTGCTTTTTTTGGCTTTCTCTCATCTGCTCAACAGGAAAAATATTAATCAATGGGAAAAATGCTCCCTTTCTGTTAGTTTAACACATGAGTTTTAGGTAGTGTGGGAAATAGTAACACCTAATGCTTTTCATTCCTGATTTTATTACACAAATTGCAAAAAACTTTTTAGAAAATGGTTTTTACTTAAACCATAGATTCACCACCTATAAAGATATTTTATCTTCTTGATGAAAAGAAGATAAACCTGAGATAGAGAAAGTTCCAGGGTTCCCTACAGTCTTGCAGTCATTGTGTGGAATAGTCCAGGGAGGAGGTCTGGTGACCCTTTGTAAGTTGCCACTGGGCAACACCTTTTTTTCCCATCAACAGGGAAGCAATTCACAATTCAGTGTTTCCTCATAAAACAAATTAGCAACGCTTCTCCAATGAGATAAAGAATATCTAAACCAGAGTCCCAAAACGGAGCTTTCCATATTTTGATATATCTCTATGCCTACTTTTTGAACTTTTATGGAAGGATAACACAGCAAAATGAAGGATCCAGCCTGATGCCTTTTCACTAAGCAAGACCACCCATGTAACCATCTCTCTCCATGCCTCTTTTGTTCAAGGTGATGAGGCTTCGCAAACTGGCACAACAGATTGCAAACTGCAAACAGTGCATTGAGCGGTCGGCATCACTCATCTCCCAAGCGGAACACTCTCTGAAGGAGAATGATCATGCGCGTTTCCTACAGACTGCTAAGAATATCACCGAGAGGTGAGTGCAGGGGCCCCTGGGAACTTCTCCGGCTGCTGGGCTCTTGTATCTGCAGTGTAATTGGTTGGTCTTGCCCTCGCCTTGCTTTTATTTTCATTTTCAAGGCTCAGTACCAGAGAGAATAGAGTCTTTGAGCTGTTTTGTTCCAGCTAAAGATGCTTCCTTTTGACATGTGAAAGCCCTTTCAGTAACAGCCTGGAGTCTGGAGTTCAAGGCCTTTGAAACAAGAGTCCACCAGTTAGAAAGAATAAAATCAACCTGCTTTTGGACGAGGGGGAGCTTATGATGGCACAAAAACAGCATTTATTGTGACTCTCAGATGTGATGTTATCGTACACTTGATAACAAAGAGTCAAAATGAAGGCAAAAACATTAAAGGGAATCTTTTGTTCCATCACAGGGCTCATCTATTTTTTTAAAAAATCACACAGGTGTTGTTCTCTGTTAGGCCCATTTTCATTTGGTTGAGGAGCTTGGCCTCACCTGAAAAGGTCAAGGCCGACTCACGCAGGAGAGAAAGGACCAAACTGTCAACCTCATACGGCCTTCTTTTAAAATACTCTTTATTCTCAGGTAGGGAGCTGTAACGTGATGTTATCTGAACGGTTGGCTCAGCAGTAAAACTGGCAGGGATAAGTATTTCTTCAGCACACATACTTGATTGGCATAAAAATTACTCATCTTCACTGACACAAACACCTATAGCAATTCTAATGGATCCAAAGAGAAGCACTAGGCTGGGCCAGGTACAGCCAGTGCCACATAAATGACATCTCTAACTGATGCTAATGGCCTTGACTTCATTCATTCTAATTTTCAGAGTCAACTTCCCTTTATCCAAAGCAATAATAGAATCCTATCTCTAGGAGACCCCAGAGAGCTCATCCATGCTGATCTTCATCCTAGAGCAGAGATCAGCAGACTTTTTCTATAAAGGGTCATCAAGTAAATATTTTCCTGCTTGGCAGGTTGTAAGGTCTTGGTCACAGCTACTCAACTCTGCCATTGTGGCTAGCTCTAAAGCAGCCATAGATAATATAGAAACAAATAGGTGTGGCTGTGTGCCAAGAAAACCATTACAAAAACAGGCAGTAGACCGTACTTTGCCAACCCCGGGTCTAGGGAAAAAAAAATACTCGCCATCTTATGACTCAAATTTATTCAAAGAAAGAGAAAGGAAACTAACGTTTATTGAGTGCTTGCTTGTTTCAGAAACTTGTGCTAATTCTCAAAATATCGCATAGAGGAGGTAATCATTGACATCTCCGTTTTCACTCTTCTTAAAGAGTAATGTACGGTGTTTTTACAACTCTGGTCTACTATCCAACCAGCTTGACTGTATTCTTTCTTATATTGGGGGAAAATTCCTTTTGTAGCTGATTAGATACTTATCTCTTCTAAAAGACATGGATAACAGCTGGCTATCATGGCTGTTATGTACTTGAGATGCTCTCCTCCTTACTCTGAGAGGCCCATTTCTTTCCTCCTGACTCCTTGATTTCAAGTGTTTATTTTCCCTGGGCCATATCCAGTCGCTCAATATTCACCCTAAAATTAAAAACTGCAAATAACACTAATACTCCAGTGTACCCAGGACACTAATAGATAGCGTTTACACTTAGGTCATGGTTTCCAACTGGAATCCAAGAGTACTTTTCTCCATCTATGAACTTTGAGATGTCCAGATGAAATGGCTATTATGAACTGCATTCCTCATCAATCCCTGAAGATTCGACCAAGTGTCATATGAATAAATTCTTACCTAGTGACCAGAGACGATGTGACCCCATAATAGTTATTGCTGAAAGAAGATATGCATCTGAAGTATAGCACAGGTGTGGGAATGCCCACATACAATCTTCCTCAGTTCCAGTGGCATGTATCTGCTCCCATGCAGCTCTCTCTGTAACAAACCCAACTCATCAAGAGCAGGAACATGACTTTGATTTCTCTTTCTACAAAGAATGTGCTTCTGTCAAGTTTGAATTCACAGAGCCTGTAAAAATTTGCCAAGAGCCTTGTCTCTGTTTCTACAATCTCCTCTCCTCCCATCACTATTTGTCCATCCTCTTGGTTAATTCCTGAGCCTTTCTATCCTTCCAGCAGCTAGGATATAGAAAAAGGACACTGGGCTTAGACTAGAAGTTGGCAGACCTGGGTTCCAATCCTAGCACTGCCACTTTTTAACTATGGTTCTTTGAGCTATTTTCTACTTAGAAAATTGGGTTAAGGAACAGTTTGGAGGTTCCTTAAAAAAACAAAACTTAAGCTACCGTATAATCCAGCAATCCTACTGCTAGGTACACACCAAAAAGAAACGAAATCAGTATATAGAAGAGATATCTTCACTCCTGTGTTTGTTGCAGCACTTTTACAATAGCTAAGATTTGGAAGCAACCTAAGTGTCCATCAACAGATGAATGAATAAAGAAAATGTGGTACATATACACAATGGAGTACTATTCAACCATAAAAAAGGATGAGATCTAGTTATTTGCAACAACATGGATGGAACTGCAGATCATTAAGTGAAATAAGCCAGGCACAGAAAGACAAACATTGCATGCTCTCACTTATTTGTGAAATCTAAAAATCAAAATGATTGAACTCATGGACATAGAGAGTAGAAAGACGGTTACCAGAGGCTGGGAAGTGTAGTAGGGGGTTGTGGGAGTGGGGGTGGGTGGGGATGGTTAATGGGAAAAAAAGAAAGAATGAATAAGACCTACTATTTGGTAGCACAATAGGGTGACTATAGTCAATAATAACTTAATCATATGTTTAAAAAAAACTTAAAAATGTAACTGGATTGTTTGTAACCCAAAGGATAAATGCTTGAGGGTATTGTTACCTTATTCACTATGATGTGCTTATTTCACATTGCATGCCTGTATCAAATATCTCATGTACTCCATAAATACATACACCAACTATGCACCCACAAAAGAATTGTTTTTACTAATAAAAAAATTATTTAAAAAAATTGGTTTCAGAATAGCTGTCACTGTTGTGATAACATTGCTTTAAGTTCCTTACTCCATGAGTGTTAGTTGGATCTCTGTTTTCACGTTTCAGGTTTCAACATGTGAGTCTAGCCCGCCTTGTGTGTCTTTTTTCCGGTGCTACTCTCTGTCTACCTGCCCCTGTTCATCAATCTGTCACTTAGCATTCTTCTCTAGGACATGACTTCTTTCTTCTGTCTCCTATTGTGCCTGCCTTGGGCTTTGGCTTCTGTATACTTCCAAACAATCTTTATTCTTCAATTCAGGTGTGAATCCCAGAACAAACTTTTAATCCTGCAGGCATTCTTGAAGTGAGACTTAGATGAGATTTTCTGCATCATTAAGTCACTTAAGGTGGATATGTCCTCCTACAAGCTGAATCAAAACTGTAAAAATTTTTTTCATTTCAGAAACATCAAACAACTCCAAAAGGGGAGAGAGCCTCAAGTTTTACATTGTAGGAGATGCTTTTGCTTTGGAACCGATTGTTTGGCTCTGTGCTAATTGCTTAGTAATTATAGATAGCATTGAGGCTGCTCATTAACATTGGCTAATTTTGCTCATATACTCCAAGTAGGCAGGTACCCTAGTCACCTTGTTTTTACCATTATAGCCCCATCACATTGCAAGCTGCCTGACATGAATGAATGAGTGAATGAATGAATGAATGAATCCATAAATCTATAAAACAGGACCAGTTATTCCTACCTAAGATGGTTATTGTGGGGATAAAATGCAATAATGTAGTAGAAACATTAGCCTAGTTTCTGTCACAAGGTGAACATGCAACAAATACTAATTCTCCTTCCCACTCACTAGATGAATGCAAATGTATAATGTACTGTATTCTCAAGCTACACTAGTAGATAGGTCTTTGGTGTGATTGTATATGCACCTTTATAGCATTATGTTAAATAAGCAAAACTATTCACTAAGTCCAGGCATAAGAAAGTTGGTCTACTGCTTATGAAGAATCTAGAATTAAAATCACTTTTAGCAGTAACTTACCTGTATCAAGAAGGTGATAAAAAAGAAAATTCAGAATAGTACCTATTGTTCAAAGCACCTAGGAGGTTCTCAGACTCCTCAAGGTGATTCTTCTGTTCCTCACTACGATAGGCAGTTCAAGGATCTTTTCCAGAATACAAAGCCAAGAACTCCAGTTGTCAATTCTGAAAAGATGTTACTTGGTTCTAAGAATTAGAACATATCTGATAAGTGGTTTTGGAAGTGTGTCTGCAGGGTGTTCATAGGCATTAAGATAACTGCACGTTTTCAAGGCCAAATGTGTTTGGGAATTCCTGGGCTGACAAAAGTAAACCTGTCTTGTTACTATGAGACTTCACTGGGTTTTACTTTGGTGATGCACATTGTTTGGCAGAAGCCTTGTGAGCAGCATAGCTCTAGACACGTCCACCTTCTGGAAAACTGGCCCCATGTGTCCCAGACATGGCTGTAAAGCAAGAAGTTGAGAAAGTGGCATAGCACTAACAACCCTAGTGGATTTTGGCGACTTATCCAAAAGGCCAGAAGATGGGCAATAAGGATTTGGGAAATAAAAACATGGCCTAAAATGTTGAGTTTGGCAGATTTTCCCTTGCCTGTCACTCCAATTAGGAATTTGAAGTTGTAGCCAAAGATAGGTATCTTTCCTTCCATCAAGAAACAAATGTGTAGGTGTTAAAAACTGCAGTAATCTCCACTGATTCTTGCTGTCAGCCTTTGCCTCCCAGGCTAGGAACTTTGATCCTTTTGGTTTCCATGTAACAAAGTTCCTACCATCAAGATGGTAGACATTATTAACAGTGTCACTCGATTTAAAATGTTTTATTTAATTGTTTGTAGACCATGGAACCAGGAGAAACTTGGGAACAAAATCTATTTTGGATAAGCCTGAATAAAGAGGCTTCTGCCAGTGGGCAGGGGAACTGCTAAAGCCAGGGAAATGCAATTGCAAGTTTAGTGCTTGTTTCCCAGTAGCTCAGAGCAGTTCTCCTTGCCGGACATTATGACAGAGAATTAATTGGCGTTTCACTTTGCAATATCTTTTAAGAGTTCAAATGGCACCTTAGCATTTCTTTTAACTTTTCTGCGTTGATGCATATGTTCTGGGCTCTTTGGTATGTAGCATAGTTTAAGGACTTCATAAATATGTGTTGAGAATGATCCTAGGACCTCTATGAAGTTTAAGGACTTTTTGTGTTCATGGGTCATAAGGAAAGGATTTTAAAAGTATAACTTGACCATCAATCAAAAATGCCTAGCAACCATCTCTGTATCCATCAGTCTAAATTAGCAGCTGTTTGTAACACTAATTAGCGCAATTCCCCAGGGTGCAATATTTAGTCAACAAAAGCACTCAACTCTACTACTATTCACTACTTGTTGGTGAAAGGGTCAGGAGATGCAGTTAGATTCTCTACCCTCATTCAAACACTTGAAGCTCTTGTTTCCAGAGCTTATGCCTCTTCACTTGCATCTTTCAATCCCAGTATCATTACGTTTATGACGTTGTTGATTAGCCTTTCTCCTTCCCTCCTGTACAGCACTGAAAATCTGCCAGAAATACAACTATAGAAACTATATTTCTGTGAATTTTCAGCATTTTACAGGTATATTCTTTTTTAGCTGGGTGAAATTTACACAACATAAAATTAACCATTTTAAGGCTGAGTGTGGTGGCTCATACCTGTAATCCCAGCACTTTGGGAAGCCAAGGCCTCCCAAAGAGTGATCGTTTGGGCCCAGGAGTTCAAGACCAACCTGGGCAACATAGTGAGACTCCACTTCAAAAGAAACAACCATTTTGAAATGCACGATTCCGTGGCATTTAGAACATTCACATTGTTGTGTAGCCACCACCTCTATCAAGTTCCGAAACACTTCCATCATACCAAAAGTAAGCCTTATACTCATTAAGCAGTTACTCCCCATCTCCCCTCCCCTCTTAGCCCCTAGCAACCATCAATCTACTCCCTGTCTTTATGAATTTTTGCCTTTTTTGGACATTTCATACAAATGGATCATATGATATGTGGCCTTTTTGATAGCTTCTTCCACAGAGCATAATGTTTTTAGGTTTCATCCACATTGTAGCATGTGTCAGTGTTCCATCCCTTTTTATGGCTGAATAATATTCCGTTGTATAGATATACCCACAGGTGTAATTTTTAGAGCCAAGATATTTTATATTTGTAAATCCAAAGCTTTAAGAGCCATTAAGAGACTCAAAAGGACATATAACCCTTGGAGTAACTGGCCTGAAATTTTTCTAGATGAAATAGAAGAGTACGGATCTGAAATTCTCCTGCTTGCTGCTGCCAGCTAGCTTTGTGGCCTTGTGTAAATGAGCATCAATTTTCTTAATTAGAAAATAAGTAACTAGATTTAGTATTAAATTGTTTCAAGGTTGTTTCTTTGCTCAAAAATTCCCAGCACCCTACACAATACTCTGCATATAATAGCTCTTAAGAGTATTGTTTATGGAACTTAACGAAATACCAAACTCAACAAGACTACTAGTCCAGCATCATTTGATATGCTCAGAAATGGTATGCTTCATGCCACAATTCTCTTGTTTTTAAGAGAATCACTTGCATTTTTGAATCAAAGTGTTCATTATTAATAACTGAACCATCCAGATCAACCTGAGAGTACATAGAAGGAGATTGAGACACACCAGTGCCTTGCTTTTTAGTTTATACATGAGAACTCTAATCAGAAAACCTAAATGAAGAAGAGAAATAGTACATCCAGTGGGGGAATTTGTGAGAAAGCTCATGAATATTTTCCACAGCATCTGCTGGGAATATGGTGCAAGAAAATGAATACAAAGAGAAAGAAAATGAGCCAGACAAAAAACTCCCTTTTTAATGTTTATTTTAGAGAGGGGCTAGTAATTGATTTAACTAATCCAATATCTGGAAACATTCTTTTTTAATATTCACTTTGCCTTTTATGCAGTTTGAAATTTTGGAGACTCCGCTTTGAAGTGGAGCAGGGTTATGTCTGAAAGGAACAAACAGTTTCCCAGACAGATGTGTGAAGAAATGCCTGGAGCTACGCGCTTCTTGCTGGGGTTAGATGTGACCAGGCCAGACTGTTAAATACACAGCAACATGATATATGAATATTCTTTTGCTTTCACAGGGAATTTTTTTTTTCTGATAGTAAAAAGGAAGAGGGCAAGCAAGTCTGTTGTTTTCTCCAATTCCTTCACTTTTTTTTAAAGCTTGCATTCATTTGTTTTATGTTACTGTGTTGTGACATTTTGAGATGCCTCTTAAAACTCATGTGTAAAAAAGCACTTTTTAAAAGAGATTTCTTTTCCTTTTTTTCATTTCAATGCAGTGATGTTGAAAGTCATCTTGACATTTCTAAAGCATTGTTTTGTTTACGTTACAGAGTCTCCATGGCAACTGCATCCTCCCAGGTTCTAATTCCTGAAATCAACCTCAATGACACATTTGACACCTTTGCCTTAGATTTTTCCCGAGAGAAGAAATTGCTAGAATGTCTGGATTACCTTACAGGTATTGTCTTTTATGTTCTCTTTAATATTGTTCACATAAACACTTTGCCACCAGATCAGTTATTCCCCAATAACCAGAGGAATGGGCTTTTGACCTAGGAATGGCACTAATATTTCCATAAACAATTTCTGTGTACTTCCCTTTGTTTTTAACCAAAACAACACAGCCCATGACTAAACTGGGGACAGGAGAAAAAGGAGAATCTCAATCATTAAAAGCATACTTACCACTGTTTCCCTCACTCTCAAGGTGTGGGTGCTAAAAATAATCTCTCTCTTTGGTATTTTTCATATCATGGTAGTAAGGCAACTCACAATACATTAGCAGAGAAAAAATTGGCAGCTAACAGATTGGTTGTCTGCACTGCTTCATCTCCTTGTATTTGTGATCTTGTTTTAATTTGCACAACATCAAGTTGAGGTAAAGCATTATAATCCCCATTTTGCAAATGACAGAGATCAGCCATCTTGCTGGAAATCAGATAACTAGGGAGTGACAGAATTAGAATTTGGGGGGGGACCTGTACAAACTCCAAAAACTTCTGCTCTTTCTAGTAAAAGACTGAATTTCATCTTGGCAAAGTCACCATGGCAAAGGTCTCAAATTCACGTTGGAATTCCTAGTGCTGTGTTTCAGTGTGCTTCCTGGTTGGTGTTTTGTTTTGTTTTGTTTCTCCCTTGGTTGAGCTTAAAAAACAAAAACAACAACAAAACAACAAAAACCTCAGGCCACTCCTATTCCTAACCATGCTTCTAAATTTTTCTTTGCTGTCAACTTCTAAAGCAGGAACTGAGAACATACACTGATAGAATTTGGACTGTTTAGACAACCTTATTTGTGTTAGCCAAAGCCACCAGTGCCTGTGACTTCAGGAAAGCACAATGTACACAGTGAAGCCAGATGTGCACTGCACTTAAGACCTACAGCCTTCAACAGACTACATCCCTAACTTAGCGTGACATGAGCTTCTCAATTCCAATTCTGTGTGTACATGTTTGTGGGAAAGCAATTGAACAAGGTGGAGCAGGAGAGAGGGAATATTGTGTGATGTTTGTTTTTACAGTCTGTGGATAGAAGGTCAGGAGTTCTATATTCAGGGAGCATTATACCCAGAAGATGAGCATTTTTTCTTTGCTAGGACCCAATGTGCTGTTTTTAGCCTTTCTGCACTGTCAAGCAAGGCAGGCATTCCACAAACTTCTTATCTTATGTAACTCTCTCTTTCAAACATACCGCTCCTATTAAGGAAGAAAGAAATTGACTAAAAAAGCATTTACCGTATGGAACTAAACTTGGTTTCAAATACTTGTGTACATAATGCCCTCCTATGTAAGCTTTTAACTCTGAGATTTATTTAAACTGACACTATCCAATAAAACTTTCTATGATGATAGATATGTTCTATATCTGTACTATCCAGTGTTAGCTGAATCCCACATGGGGCTATTGAAAACTCGAAGTGTGTCTAGTGAATTTTTACTTTTATTTAACTTTAACTAAATTTAATTGAAATTTAAAACACCACATGTAGCTCATGGCTATTGTATTGAACAGTGCAGATCTAGACTTTCTCCGGCTAAGCTGTTTTTTACAATGGCATCCTGTTAAAAATCTCCTTTTTCTTATATCATTTGGGAATGAGTCAAGTTGCAACAAAAAATCCAACTAGCAGTGAATAAAACCATCAAGGAGTGTTTGTATTATAGACACAAGAGAAGCCTGTGTTCCAGGACTGAGCAGTGGTTCAGTGATGACCTCAGACCCCAGGCTCTTTCTTTTTTCCTCCTCTGCCACCTTCATTGTGTTGCCTTTCTGACACATGATCACAACATGACTACTCCACCTCCAAGTGTTGTGCTCAAGCTCTAGGCAAAAAGAAAGGGGTGGAGGGGAAACGATGGACAAAATGCTCTGCCAGTGAAGTCTGTTTATCAGAAAAACAAAAAACTTGATCAGAAGACCCACCTAGCAAACTTCCACTTATGTCTGGTGGGCCATATCTGTGTTACAAGGTCATGTCCAAGGGCAGAAAAGACTGGAAAATTAAGTATTTGCCTAGGCACATGGCCATTCTGCCCAGAATCAGTCTTATTGACAAGAATGTGCCCTTGCCATTTCCCAATAATTATTTCATAGTATTTCAACAACATATGCCCATTTTAATCTCTATAGGAATGCGAAAGTATTGATTAAAGGGGAAATTGTGAAAGTAGTTTGGACTGAATTGTAACATACACCATATTTCATCCCGATGGCTGTTTATTTCAAACTAAAGGCCATATGGGGTACCTGCTATTATGTCTTCTGAGCTGTCAACCCCAAGTACAAATTCAGTCCATTTCTAGACATAACATCGATCCTGACCATAACATATGATGCTTGGCTGATACTGCCAAGTCCAAATAGTTTATGCCATTTGTAAGCAGGAAATGAAGTGTTTGTGGAGTATTAGCCCACCATTCCTTGGGTGGTGTTTGTGACAGAGACAAGAAAATAACACTTCTGGTACCAATTCCATGAGTATTGAAATTGGCAGCATGCTGCTGTTCTCATTTACACTAAATTGAGTATTGACTTCTCAGGACAAACTCATTGGGTTTACAGTCAAAATAAGGTTAGCCTGTCTCATTGTAAAAACAAGATTTTTTTTTCCTATGACATGCCTCTAAGTGGTATGTCAAGTTAATAACCCATAGAGGTGACATTTCCTTCCTGATTATGGCTACTACCATGTGTCTCACAGGTACTTGCCTATTTTGAACATACGTTTTCTTTCTATTTAATCATATATTGCAATACAGAAAGAACAAAATTTTTCTACAATGGAGAAATAATTCAATGAACTGTCTAAATTGTGGGAGAGTAAGTATTTCTTTACTGATCCATGCAGGAGTGATCCCACACCAACAGGGACCACACAGACAATAATAAGCACATTTTACGATGCAGCTGGACCTCCTCTGTGGAATGCATATCCTGACTGGTGTCACTGATTCATGCGCATCCAAGTCGTACCACATGACACCGAATCTCACATGTGAATACTTCAGGAGACAGATGTACAAATACATATTCAATAAAGAATGCTTTAAAGGTTATGTAGAGCCCTTCTATCTTAATGCACAATTTAATGCCATGCCTGTCACGTTGGAGGTGCTCAACAGTGTTTCTGGAATTCAGAACCAATAGATAAAGCTAAGCTAATTGAGTTAATACCGTAGACTTGCTTCTATGATATTTGTCCTAGAGGTATATTCAAAAAGCAAAGTGAAGACTACTAACACAGAGTTTAAATTTACAGTTTTTATAAACTTTTCTTCCTCTTTGGGTTTGCTTAGGACTCATCAATTCTAATCATAATTTAGAACAGGAAAGAACTCTAAAATAGTATAAGCAAAGGTTGCTCCTAATTTGTAGAATGCAGGTATATTTCTCCTTTTGAAGCTAGATTCTAATGGATAGCAGAGTGGAAGTAAAGGCCCTGGATCAATTCTCTAAACCAGTGGTCAGCAAATTTTGACTGCAAACCACCAGATGGTAGACATTTTAGGCTTTGCAGGCCATATGGCCACAACTACTCAACTTTGCTGTTGCTCCAAAGCAGCCATAGACAATACATAAATGAATGAATCTGGCTGTGTTCCAATAAAACTTTATTTACAAAAATAGGCAGTGGGCCAGACTTGGCTCACAGTCACAGTTTGCCAACCCCTCCCTCTTAAATATTATTTACAATGCAAAGCACTCATTTTCTCATATTTTCCTTGCTCACATACTCTTCTCATAAAACCAGTTACTGAAATCAATTCAGTAGAAGTCATTTTAAACTCATTATTTTGGTAGGACTTAGACTTCCCTGCTCCAGAATGTGTTAAAGAAATAAAACAGCAGCCTTCTACAATGATAAATTAACCAAATGCCAAAAAAAAGTTTTTTCCTTGGGGAAGGAAAATGTACCCTTTAGATATGATTAACTATTAATCATGGTCTTCTTAATTTGAAATATCGCATGAGTTGAGAAATCAGAAGAAAATAGGGCTGGACTAATAAGTTCTTTTTTTATATATAAGTCATCAAAACATCTATTGAAAGAAAAATTCAAACAATTATGTGGCTGATTTTTTGTAGGATAACAAAGATAAGTATTTTTTCAGTTGGATGCCTAAATATATAAGTATCTGGCACCATGTATTAATAGATCAGGGGTTGGTGAATTTTAGGTTACAGCCCAAATCTGACCCTCCACCTATATTTGTAAATAAAGTTTTATTGGAACCTGGCCATGCCCACATGTGTAAGTTGTAACTGTTTTCATGCCACAATGGCAGAGTTGACTAGTTGCAACAGAGACTGTATGGCCCACAAAGCTGGAAACATTTACCATCAAGGCCTTTACTGAAAAAGTTAGCCAACCTCCCAAAGTGAATGCAACTATGAAACTTTATCTTGTTTACTTTTTATTTGACATGTTTTCCTTCATGCACAAGAAAGTATTGTTTAACCTCCCAAACATATTCTCATGATCTCATGGTAAACACAGAAAGTCCATACTGGCTGACTGTAGTCACATTCCTTATTAAAAACAAAAGCAATAACCAGCCAATCAAATATTCTTTAGATTGGGGTCACCATCTCTAGAATAGTAGTCCTGATGGACCTATTGAGAAAGACCTGCTTAACTGTCAAACATCTCCTCCGAAATGGTATCCCAGTGGTGTGTGCTTTCCCACTGATAAGCATTCTTGACCCCCACAGCTCCCAACCCTCCCACAATTAGAGAAGAGCTCTGCACAGCTTCATATGACACCATCACTGTGCATTGGACCTCCGATGATGAATTCAGTGTGGTCTCCTACGAACTCCAGTACACCATATTCACCGGACAAGCCAACGTCGTTAGTGAGTATCTCATGGCCTATTTATTTCTCTCTTTGGTGGCTTTCTTCAGATTTACTGCATTCCTGAATTTAAACGTCAAAGGAAGACAAGGAAGGAAAGAACACACAGTATTTATTGACTTGTCTTTCTTGAACAAGAAAGTGATAGCACTCACTTGTACTACACTAGTAAAAACAGCTGGCTAAATATTGATGAAAATTAATGACCTCTAGCAAACCACATGGATGATTCTCACAAATATATTGTTAAGGGAAAGAAACCAGAAACAAATATATATATATATGGTATTAATCCACATATAGGTTCATAACTTAAAGATCAAAATAAACTATTTTGCTTAAAGAAACATTCATAGGTGTTAAAGCTATAAACCATGGGCAACCTAGTGAAACCCCATCTCTACAAAAAATACAAAAAAATACAGAACTTAGCAGGGTGTGGTGACACACACCTGTAGTCCCAACTACCCAGGAGGCTGAGGCAGGAGGATGACTTGAGCCCAAGAAGCAGAGGTTGCAGTGAGCAGAGATCACACCACTGCACTCCAGACAGGGCAACAGAGTGAAAATGCTGTCTCAAAAAAATAAAAATAAAAAGTCAGGATGACGGCTACCTCCAGGATTAAAGGGAAAATGGCACCACTGGAATGAAATATATGGGGGTTCTTGGAGTTAATGGCAATTTCTAGGTGAAAGTTACATGCTTTAGTCATTATATCATACATTTAGTTTTATGTACTTTCCTGAGTGTTACTTCACATATTTTAAAAGAAAAGATTTAATAAAATAAATAGCCAAAGAATGTTAAATACCTGGTCCCATTCAGAGGAGACCTGGGCCCATCACTTAAAATGTCAGTAACTGGCTCCACCTGGGAAGAATTTCCAACCTTACCTGAAACATTAGAGGTGCCCCCTCTCACTGAGGCCTATTTGATATCTGGCATCAGAGATAACTTGGTAATTTCAAATAGCAGTAGTAGCTGGCCACAGAGATGGTAATAGAGGAAGCAGTCCTCCAACCCACAGAGTTCTTTAAACTGAACTGAGCAAATGGCAATGAACCAGAAGACATGGCTTTTCACGGGAGTAAGTTTGAAACTTCTTTAACAAAGAAACATACAATATGTCAAAGTAGAACAGAATAGAATAGCGATCATGTTTCAACAAAGAGATGTTTTGAACAAATTCGTATCAATTTAATGTGCTTTTATTATATAAACCTTTTCTCTCTTAACTACAAACTGTTCTTTCCTCGCACAAGTAATTCTGAGTCATACGATGCTTAACATAGAAATTTGATTTAGGATTAATTAAAAGAGTGATGCAAAAATACACCAAGTTCTATGGGACTAAAGTGTAAATGACCCATACCAACAAATGGCTCCCCCTACCTTCCTTATATCCACTCTCCCCAACTTCTCCAACTTCCTCTCCTCAACTCCCTCACCTTCTACCCTATAATTGGCCTGCCTTTAAAGCTTTTATTAAAATCTTGCCATTTACCAAGAATGTATAATTTTTTAATGAAAGTGGAGAAAGTCATGAAATGTCAAGAACAGCTCTGGCAAACTGCTTAAGTAGGTAGGGAATATAGAAAGGTCAGAAATGGTGAGTGGGACAAAAATGTCTTGGGGGAAGTTGTGGTTAAACTAAGTCTTGAAAAAAAGCAGGTGCATTTTAGCAAGTTAAGGCTGTACCAGACAGCTATGTCATCATAAGCAAACCTATCAAGATGTAACATAGCAGGGTATATTGGGAGATCTTGCCTAATTAAGGCTGGCTGGTAAGTGAAGAAAGGGAGACAGTGAGAAATGAAGACAGAGAAATAGAACCAGGGCTCAAACCCATATTGGCCTAGCTCCAAAAAGCACATGTTCTTAATCCTTAATCCTCAGTCACTTAATCCTAATTCACAGGCAAGAGCTAGATTGCAGAGGGCTACCCAGGCCATACCATGTTTGGATTTTACCCTGTGGGCTTGAGAGTCATGCAGGAGAGTAGTGTGATCAGAGATATAATTAGAAGGTGACTCAGGAGCACTGTGGAGAGTGGAGAGGAACAGGGCAGGACTAGAAGCAGAGACATCAGCTGGGAAGTTTCCTAGTAATTCACCAAGGCAGAAATAGCCAGGACCTGCAAATGGCACCAGCATCAGAGATGGAAAGGAAAAGATAATTCCAGGAAGGCTTCTCTGCATCTGGCCCATTTCCCTGGGAAAAAAATCATCACTGTCCTCAGATATTTGAAGTGCTTTTTGGGGCAAGTCGGAGAAGCACTGTATAGCAATGGTTTAGTAACATTTTGCTCTCCTTCTACGATTTTGAATTCTTCTGGTATCATTCCTCATTCCTGACTTTATATGCCCTACTGCAAATCATAAAGAAATACTAATTCTCTAAAATATTTTTCTATATGTGCATATCATACATAATTCTTTACCTTGTTTTTTTCAATAAATATTATGTCTGAGATATCATTCCATTTCAGCACAAAGAACTGCCTCATTCCTTTTTGAGGCAGTATCATATCCTATTGTAAAGATATACTCTAATTCATTTATCCCATCTTCTATAGATGTGTATTTAGCTTGTTTCCAATCTTTGGCCCTTACAAACAATGCCCCAGTATCTCCAAGGATGTTCAAGATATCCTTGCCTATCTTTCCTTCCACACATGGGGAATTATATCTGTAGTATAATCTCTTGAGGTGCAATTTCTAGGAAAAGATTATTTGCATTTTAATTTTACTTGACATTGCCACATTGCACTTCAGAGAGATGACATGATTTTTAAATGCATTTTTCCAGCTGTATGAGCTTATATTTCACTGGTCTTGGCTGCATATACCATAAACTTAACATGGAATTAAAGTCTAGTAAAATTTTAAACCTTGATTGTGCTTCACCATAAACCCGAAACACAAGTTAATCTATGATCACTAATATCATACCAAATAGTCACTCCTTCATATAAGCAGTGATTCTCAACAGGGACATTTTTGCCCCCTAAGGGACATTTGACAATGTCTCTAGAGACTTTGGGTTCTCAAAATCTGGGAGGAGAGAGTGCTATTGGCATCTAGTGGGTAGAAGTGAGGGATGATGGGAAATCTCCCACAATGCACAAGAAATCCCCCAACAACAAAGAACTATCTGGCCCAAAATGTCAGTAATGTCGAAGTTGAGAAACCCTAATTTAAAGCAAGGTAAATGTATAATATCTACATGATTACATGCCAAATACTGAGACCATAAAACACTGATCCACACACACACTACTATACTATGTAGCATGGAAGGAAAAACACAACAAAAAGGGGGGAATATAATTAATGTATTTTGTCTTCACTTAAGGAATTGTTTTCTCAATATTTTGTGATTAATATCACTAGCATATTTGGGATAAACTGAACTGGGGATTGTATCAAACTTGAAGAAGATGAAATTCAAAAGATGATCAGAAATTTCAAGGTAAGAGAAAAGAAGCACGTGAAGGTCTGAGAAGAGCAGGTAGAAAATGGAGAGATGATTCATTGCAAAACACCGAGGGAAGGTTCTCTGAAAATACATAGAGGACTGATAGAACAGATGTCTGTTGATGAGTGAATAGTCTAACCAGAAAAAGAAAACATTTAGAGTCATTTTACACCAAAAGAGTGGTTCTTGGCCCATGTGAGAAATGCTGTATTTCTCTTAAATCATTTTTGTCTGATTCAGGAAAAGTGCTAACAGTTTTCTATTGCTGCGAAACAAATTTCCAAAAACTTAGCAGTTTAAAACAATACCCACTTATTATTTCAGTTTCCATGGGTTAGGATTCTGGGCATAGTTGAGCTGGGTCTTCTTCTTAGGTTGTCACAGTCTGAAATTAAGGTGTTGGCTAGGCTGCATTCATCTGGAGACTCAACTTAGGAAGACTCTACTTCTTAGCTCTCTCCATTTGTTGACAAAACTGTTTCATTGTGGTTGTGGAATTCATGGCAGCTTGCTTCATCAAGGCCAGCAAGGGAGAGAGTGTGCTACTTCAAACCTCCCACCTCCAAACCTGCCTTTAAAGGGCTCACTTGATTAGGTCAGACCCACCCAGAATAATCTGCCATTTGATTAACTCCAAATGAAATGATTAGGGACCTTAATTATATCTGTAAACTCCCTTTGCCTTCACCTTTGTCATATAATATAATCACAGGAGTAATAAAAGTGATAGACCTTTGTCCTTTGCCATATTCTGTTGGTTAGAAGCAGGTGACAGGTCCTGTTTACACTAGGGAGAGAATATTACACAGTTATGAATACCAGGGAGTTGGAATCCTGGGGACCATCCTGGAGCATGTCTTCCTCAGATAGTTATGTCTCTCCTGAAATTTCTTTTTTTTCTTTTATTCTTATATATATATTTATCCCAGGCTGGAGTGCAGTGTCATGATCTCGGCTCACTGCAACCTCCACCCCCAGAGTTCAAATGATTCTCGTGCCTCAGCTTCCCAAGTAGCTGGGATTACAGGTATGTGCTACCACGCCTGGCTAATTTTTGTATTTTTAGTAGAGATGGGATTTCGCCACGTTGGCCAGGCTGGTCTCAACTCCTGGCCTCAAGTGATCCACCCACCTTGGCCTCCCAAAGTGTTGGGATTATAGGCGTGAGCCACTGTACCCAGCCCTCTCCTGAAATTTCTTAAATCAAATCGTCATGGGCATTTTGGGAGTACATGTAGCCTTGGCCTTGACTGACGGGCTCTGTATCCGTTGGCTTTTGCTGAATAGCCAACAATCACAGGGCCTAAGTAGAATTTAACAACAACTTATTGCTTATGCATCTGGAGTCAACTGAGTGTCAACTAGGAAGCCCTGCTGATCTTGGCTCCCTCACATGGCAGGCTGGTAACTGTGGCAACCCGACTGCTGCACATCTCTCTCATCCTCCTGCAATCCAGCTCAAGTCTGTTCTCCCCCTGATTGCAGAGACGAAGGAGTAAGGGCAGGCTCAATTACACACATTCTTTTTAAGCCCCTGTCTGTGTCACATTAGCTAACATGCTGTTTGTCAAAGAAGTCCCCTGGGTGAGCCCAGAGTGAGGATACGACCTGCAAAATTACAAGGAAGGAGCAAGGAATTGGGGCCAAAAGGCCCTAATTCAATACCAGAGCTTCACCTCATCCCCAAAATGAAAGGAAGATATTTATTGCTTGAAACTGAGGATTTCTCACTTGGCTAAACTGTGACCAACTTGATTTCTGTGCTATTTGCATCGAAAATAATACCAAACATGATGCATTAATAGAATAGATGATGCAAAAAGGTCATGCATAAAACAATTCAACAAGAACAAAACTACTGAGTATAATGAACTCAGAACTTTATGTTGGGTGATTCCAGAGATGTTTTATTCCCAGAAACCAGTTGCCATAAAAAGAGAAATGCAAATGGCTTAGTGAAGATTATCAACCTTTAATGCATAGATGCCAGAAAGGCCCATTCTCCCAGGATGGAAGAAAAACAGTGAAACTGCTGGTGCTGACCAAACTTGGATACTCTCATCGGGTTGTTTGTATCAGGATGTGTTCCTCCCTTTATGCCCATTAAACCAGAATAGTGAAGTCCTAATGCCTACAGGATCAATTTGCGACAAAGAAAGAATTCATTCAGATAAAAAGCTAACTGAGATGCAAACATTTTCAAATTATTTTCTTCTTAAATATTTTTCACATTTGTAGTGACCAAGGGAGACCTGGATTTGAATCTTGACTTTGGACCTCACTAGCTCTGCAGTCTTGAGCGAATTATTTAATGTCCTCCTAATCTGTTTCCTCATCTGTAAGAATGGATAGTGTTTTAGCTTCACATGGTTGAGATAATAAAAGTAAAGACCTTAGTCTTGTGTTTGCCACAGTGGTAACACATAGATATTCAAAGTTATTATTCCTACAAAAATACAAACTGTACTCGCCCATAATTGCATTTTAAAAGAAAGACCAATTTTGCAATTTTCCAGGAGTATCTGCATGATAGCATTTTACACAATCATTATGTGAAAGGCTTTCCTTGAATGTTGTTAAATAATCTGTCCTATTATTTGGAGAAATATCCTTTGCAGATGTTGTATTGCATGACAAGATCTAATGCTAAAACTCTACTGAAAATGAGAAGATATAATGCTCAAGACCTGGCTGTAGCTCCTTATGTCACTAGAAAATCTTTTACTGTCTCTAGGTCATGGTTCCTTCACTCATCCTAATAAATTGTAGTTAATTGCCTTCAACTGGCGTTAGTGAAGGAGACTTAGATAATATCTATGGAGCTTTTTCAATCTTATGAAAAGGCCCTCACTAATGAAATACATACATTCAAATGCAAAAGTAATGACATTAATTTTTATTTTTTATTTTTATTAATAGAGTTATGACTATAGATGTTAATGAATTGCTTATCAATAACTAGATATTTATTTAATTTTACAACGTTTTCCACGTTTTTTCTAAAACTACTTTTGATGCGTCATTTTAAATCTTAAATTGGGTCCTTTCCCCAGCAGCCTATTCTTATTCTTAGCAGAAATCAAAAGCTGCATTTTTTTCAAGCCTTAATGGCTAAGTAGTTATCTGCTTTTAATTTATTGTAGTCACTTAGAAAACATTCATGAAAGTTATTAAACATATACTATTTTTACAGAGAAGAAGGAAAGGAATGTTCACTTTTGTCCAGTCTGTTGGAAGAGACAAAGGATGTTAGAAACCAGTGTGCAGCCTCTCCTAAGACTGTCCACATTTTGTGACATTTTTACACATAATTTTTTGTGGCAAGATGACAGTTGCCATACAAGGCTCTGAAATCCCAGATGTAATTAAGATTTTATAATGAGCCACATTATGTAGGGAAATGCTTCTAATCCATTATGAATGAAAAAAAAAGTGTAAAATCAAAAAACTCAATTAGGTTTCATTGTGGACAAATTATTTTCCAAGCTCCATTGTTATTTTAAACTGAGTCGGAGGAGGTGAATGTTGGAACACCCTCAAAGATGATTGAAAATGAGTTTGGAGAAAAGTGAAGTTTCAATCAGGATGGTTGTGTGGGTGTTTCATAAAGAGATGAATAAAACCTGGTCAAAAGTCCTAACACAGTAGGGTGTCAAGGCAGAGAAGTCTTGCTTAAGCAAACTCAGTGTCATATGCAAGAAGTTAGGTGGTGCTGGCGTAAGACCAACACCAGTAATGCTGCACTCCAAGTCACCCCACTTACTCCAGCCCCCAAAAGAAAATTGTCAGTGTTGCTTTCCTGGCATTTTTAATCAACTTCTCAATTATTATCTTGGCAATAATAATAACATAAAGGTAAACCTAAACAGTAATAGTTGTTAGTATTCATGAAAGTAGATTGTCCCAGTATAAAGCTAACCAATGAAATTTTACTACTTTATAAACATTTTGTTCTTTTAATTTTCGAGGAAAAAAATAGGGACCTCTTCAAAATAATCAGGATAGTCAGAGTCCCTTTTTGTCTGGAAAAGGTTTCTGAAACATAAAATCTTTGTTGGGCTAAGACTTTGGACTTTAGGCCAAGTTACAGTTTGCAGCAATTTCAGACATCTGCTTTATGATGTTGCTGAAAGCGTTCCCCCACCACATTAAACCCAGCTTTTGGGTTGTACAGTGATGTAAAGTTTATTGAAACATTTTTACACTTGCTTTCTTTGACCACAATAGTCATTTTATTGTAACATATTCAATTAAACAGGAACAGTGTAAAAGCAGTGAAATTGATAGGATTCTCATTTGAATCTACTGGATGCCTTAATTTTTCTCATTTGTGGCTGACTGCCGTTGACAAAGATCTAGGAATATGAGTAGACTATCCTACATAATAGAAAAGCTACTTTTTTGTTTTATTACTATTGTAATAATATTAAGTACCTAAAGAGAGTTATAGGCCTCTTGGGGCCCAGAACTCAGAGTTCAAAATGACCCTTCTTTGATTGGATCAAAATCTAATATTTGGCTGTGGCATTATCCAGAAGTATGGAGTTTATTATAGCTATGTTCAAGGAAAAGGTAAGGTGAAGGAAGATCAGAAGGGATATATAGTAAGGAAATTCCCATGTTACTAAACTATTTGTGGATGTTTTCCTGCATCTTATACAAATGAGAATTGGTAGGAAAACAGAGGGCTAAGAGTTAGAGAAAATAAATTTGGGGAGGAGGGATGGATTGTGCCTCTTTTTGCTCTGCTGAATCTCCAAATATAAACACACACACACTCAAACCCTTCTATGAGTCCTAAATTACATTCTTGCTTCAAGCTGGCTTTTTCAAATCTGGCAGTCCACTGGCGAAAATGTTTGCAGGTAGAAAAAAAAAAAAAAGAGGCAACAGAAAATTCACAAGACCAAATATATGTGAGTGTGTGTGTGTGTGTGTGTGTATGTGTGTGTATCTTTAGACATCTATCTATCTATCTATCTATCTATCTATCTATCTATATATATATATATAAAATTCACTGATGTGTACTTGAAAATACTATGCACCCAAGATGGAAATCATATAAGGTGAATTTTCACAACTGACAAAATACTTTTAACTTTTTTTCAACTGTGACAATACCATGAATACTTTTTAACTCAAAAGATGGAGAAAGTATTCAGTAAGATTCAAAGACAGGCTTCAGGAGCCTGTGACTACCTTGAAACGCTATGCAAATATTTGTGGTTTGGTATGTATATGCATTTGTGAATTTCTTTCTACAGAAAGGTTTTATTAGATTCTCAACGAGGTGAGACCAAAAAAAAGATTAAGGGACTGCTTTTTGAGAGTCTGGTAAAGTATAAGTTGCCTCAAGATCAAAGGAACTAACCCTTTGACTTGCAAATCAACTGAAAGAAGAGTTGGGTGGTGGCTTTGGAGTCCTCTGTAAGTGAAGGAGGCCCAGCCCTCTCCCAGGGACCACTGAAGGAAATCAACAGAGTCAGGAAACTTCTTGACAGCCTGGTCACCAGGGGTTTGGGAAAAGGTTCTATTGGAGTGGAGACTGATGGATGGAAAAAAGAGAGAGGGAAATTGGACCTGATACCAAAGAGATGTTTTCAGCCGTCAACCAGCTGCAAAACAAAATGGGCTTCCTTTTCCTACATATTCTTCCAAGCATTATAAATCCTCGGTCTGCTCCCCAACCCACATCCTACAGGATGCAGCCAGAGCAACAGCCCCACTCCACTCTGGAACCAGTCATCCTAGGGATGCAGCTGGTCAAAAATCCCTGTGGACGCTTTCTCAAGATCTGCACCAGACCCTGAGCTGCCCAGGTGTTGCTGCTCCAGAATTCTCTTAGGAATATGTCTCCTACATCAGTTAGTTACAGCCACACTAATACAAGATCACAAACGATCCTGATGATCATTTCTTAGCTTCCCTGTTGGAGGTTGGTTGGTGTTGGCTGATCTCTGCTTGGTTCACTCCTGCACTGGCTGGGCGTTGGCTGTGTGGTAAAGCTGTTCCCTGTCTCATCCTGTTGGAATGAACAGAGTATCCTAGGAATATTTTCTCCAGAGCAGTGGCAGACACAAAGGGTCAACAGAAATCCTCAAGGCTTTGTCATGCCTACTCTTGCAACTAGCACATTGTCATTTCAGCCTCATCCTATTGACTAAAGTAAGTCACTTGACCAAATTCAAAGCTGTGTGACAGGGAAATATATTGCACCTCTTTAGAAGGAGCACCTGCAAAGTCATTTGGGCCTGGATATACAGGGCAGGGAGAATTTTGGAGACAAAAATGCAATCTGCCACATCTATATTAGTGAAGTCAATTTTTCATATGTGGCTATCAGAACAAAGCACTTCACTTACCAACACTATTCAAATAAATTGAAATTATTCAATTTAAAATTATGCAAGCATTGCTCCCCTTGTGCCAAAGAACTGCACCATGTCTGATTGGCTTTGCAGGTCTGTGTAACTCGGCTGATAGCTGGATGATAGTACCCAACATCAAGCAGAACCACTACACGGTACACGGTCTGCAGAGCGGCACCAAGTACATCTTCATGGTCAAGGCCATCAACCAGGCGGGCAGCCGCAGCAGTGAGCCTGGGAAGTTGAAGACAAACAGTAAGTGCTGTGAACTCAACAGAGCTGTCATGTCTTATCTGCTCTTCTTTCAGCTGACTCTGTCCCCCTTTCTTTTCCTTTCCTCTCTCTTGGGTATCATTGACAGCCCCCCAAAACAAGTAAAAAGCCAGTGTGGAATAATGGAATTTGCATCAGATACCTCTAGGTCCCAAAACTGATTTCTATTCCTTCACAGCCGTGAGACCATTACTCTCTCTGAACTTGAGTCTTCTCATTTTTTTTTTATTATACTTTAAGTTCTAGGGTACATGTGCACAACGTGCAGGTTTGTTACATATGTATACATGTGCCATGTTAGTGTGCTGCACCCATTAACTGGTAATTTACATTAGGTATATCGCCTAATGCTATCCCTCCCCCCTACCCCCTACCCACAATAGGACCCGGTGTGTGATGTTCCTCTTCCTGTGTCCAAGTGATCTCATTGTTCAGTTCCCACCTATGAGTGAGAACATGCGGTATTTGGTTTTCTGTTCTTGTGATAGTTTGCTGAGAATGATGGTTTCCAGCTTCATCCATGTCCCTACAAAGGACACGAACTCATCCTTTTTTATGACTGCATCATATTCCATGGTGTATATGTGACACATTTTCTTAATCCAGTCTGTCACTGATGGGCATTTGGGTTGATTCCAAGTCTTTGCTATTGTGAATAGTGCCGCAATAAACATACGTGTGCATGTGTCTTTATAGCAGCATGACTTATAATGCTTTGGGTATATCCCCAGTAATGGGATGGCTGAGTCAAATGGTATTTCTAGTTCTAGATCCTTGAGGAATCGCCACACTGTTTTCCACAATGGTTGAACTAGTTTACAGTCCCACCAACAGTGTAAAACTGTTCCTATTTCTCCACATCCTTTCCAGCACCTGTTGTTTCCTGATTTTTTAATGACTGCCATTCTAACTGGTGTGAGATGGTATCTCATTGTGGTTTTGATTTACATTTCTCTGATTGCCAGTGATGATGAGCATTTTTTCATGTGTCTGTTGGCTGTATGAATGTCTTCTTTTGAGAAATGTCTGTTCATATCCTTTGCCCACTTTTTGATGGGGT